CTAATAAAAAAAATGGGCAAAAGGAACCGCACCGATGCACCTACTGACGAAGAAGTGCTTGAATTGCAACAAATCTCTCGTGTGGATAATACCAACAAGTGCACTTTAAAGTGGCTGCGTGCAGTCAACAGATTTCAAGTAACTATCAAGTATAACAAAGGTATTGAAAAAATTGAAATGGCAACAGAATTGGAAAACTTTTTTTGCAGGTTCCTTACTTGGTTGAAACGTTTGGACAGCAAAGACTACAAAGCAGAGAGTATACACAATTGCTATGCTTCTATAGCTCGATACTTGAAAGAAAACAGTGAAATTAAGCTGTGTAAGTTGTGGGATTCTTACCATTTTGGAAAAGCACTGAGAACACTTGATGGTAAGATGAAGAAACTTCAGAATGCAGGTTTGGAAGAAACAGATCAGGCATCTGCGTTAAGTGCTGAAGAGATTGTTCAAATCCTTGACTATGATAAAATGCAAACTGATATTAACGAAAGTTTGGTGAGACAGATATTTTTTTGGCTGTCGCTTCTTTGTGGTCTTCATGGTGGTGATGCCGAAAGAATAAACTTTAAGGACATATCATGCTGTGATGACGGTGGACTTTATCTGATGTTTAATCATGAGAAGAATAATCAACGTGGGGTGTTAAAGCGCAATAAACATGGAAAAAGCTCTGCACAAAAGATTCCTATTCCACCCGATAATGCCAATAATTGTTTTAAACCTATACAAGACATATTGCATATGATATCATTGTGTCCTGTGGGTGCTTGTGCATTACTCTTTTTAGAAGCTACACGAGCGTCAAAGGGTTTAAAACATTTATAGATTTGAATTTTTTTTTTTTATCTATTATATTACTAATGCTTTTGTTTTGTTTTGCTAGATATAAATAAAGGAATTTGGTTCAAAAAAAACCGGATGGGTATAAACAAGTTGAACACAATGATGGTAAAAATAGCAGAACTCACAGGTATTAACCTCGATAACGGTCGTAAGATCAGTAACCATTCTCTTCGACGTACGGCAATTCAAAAGTTGAAAGATTTGGAAGTTCCAGAGGATGAACATATGGAATTCTCTGGGCACCGTAGCAGAGAAGGAATTTTGGCATATAGTAGCGCAAACGATATTCAAAAACTTAGAAATACGTCAATGCTAATCCCTCTGGATTGTGACGATATTCCATATGAAGAATTTAATTATTTTCCTGAGGATGCCAAGAATTACTTGGATTTTGAAGAGGATGACAATGATGAAGGTATTTGTGAATTTTATTGTTTAATTATTTACATATCTATTTTTTGACATTTTTTGATTTTACTATTTTACTATTAGAAGGATTTCCAGGACCACCACCAGAGGCACCACAAGGACTACCACCAGAGGCACCACCTGAATCACCACCTGAATCACCACCTGAAGCACCACCTGAAGCATTGCCTGAACTATTGTCGCAACCATCGTTAAGCCAATCGATGAAACTATCGCAAAGACAATTGCTAAAACCATCACATACGTCAAAATTGTATGCACCGTTCAAACCACCTTTCAAAAGGTCAAATATTCAACCCGAGATTTCAAAGGCATCTAATATTCAAAAACCATCACGTATTCCTCAGCTTTCGTCGTTGGGACCTCCTGCACAACCAAGATCACATTTGGGCGATATTTCTAATCGTATTATGCCCATAACTTATGATGACATTAGAGATAATGAAAGTAAAATGAACAATAGAGAAGTTCATTACCATTTCCACTACTATTTTTTAAAAAAAAATGTTTTTTTTAAAATGTATTTTTTTTAAAAAAAAAAAAATTGTAATTTTTATTTTATTGAAATAAATAATGTATTGTACAGTACATTTGCAATTTTAAAAAAATCGGGCCTCATAAAATACTTACTACAAGATTATTTTCACCAGTCTATATGAAATCATGATTTTCATATAGACCGGTGAAAATAACCTAGAAGAAAAAAGCATGGGTTGTTACATAGTACCCATGGAATAAATAAGATATATGATACATAAGATATATGATACATAAGATATATAATACATAAGATATATGATACATCAGATATATAATACATAAGATATATGATACATCAGATATATGATACATAAGATAT